TAACGTACGGCCCGGTCCGGAACCCGTTATCGAACGTTATCGCGGCCCGGGTATGATATAAAGCTCGATACAGCCCTAGCCCATACACCTGCCACGCTCTTCGTGCGCTGCTAGAAACAAACGCTGGCCGATAGAAAGTCTGTTTAGGAGGCTACTCTTCCAAGCTTCGCACAATGGTTTCACATTGACATGATTGACATCGCTAGATTCAAGAAACAACACGCACCTGGTACCTATCAGGCACGTTGCCGTCCAGCAGGTAGGGCAGATCGTCCAGGTCCAGACCGGTGTTGGCGTCCTCCAGCCCCATGGTGTCACACAGGCGGAAACACAGCGTCTCACCATGGCGTTCTCCACGCACCTCGTACGTTCGGTACTAATCATGCAGTTTGAAAATAGACTGAACATTTCACACTGCAGTTTCCTAAATTGTTTCTTTTTGCATGTTGCTTTGATGAAGCTACTGTTATAGCTATCTAACATACAAAGAATAAAATATGTTAGATAGCTACTGTTATAGCTATCTAACATATTTTATCACTTTAACCGTGATAAAATATCTAAAGAAAGGAATTTTTTAGTCACAGTTTTTCGACTTTTCCCTCTTGTGGACAGTCTTTTTATAATCTTTTGTTATTTTTTAGTACATGGAAATTATACCAGACAGGTTTTTTCCTCATCTATCGTAGTACACATTTGAGATGATATGGATGAACTAGAATTATAATTAAAATCTTAGAATCTTGGACCGCCTGTAATTCTATTTCTCTGCGGTTCTAACAGACGTACCCGTGTAGTGAGACTGTGCGGCTGACTGCCCGCCATGGCCTGGCTGGACACGCGGCCCTTGTAGATGGAGTTGATGGTGTTGAAGAAGCTGGATTTCCCAGAACCCACCTGGCCGACCAGCAGGACGTTGACCTGGCTGACGGACGAACAGACCTGCGGCTTGTACCCAGCTACCTGCTGCTTCAGCCGCTCTCGTTCCCTGCGTGAGCATCAAGAATGAGTTCTTTCTATGGCCAAAAATATGATAGTACTCATGTCTGCAATTGTGTCATTACAGCATCAACAAGAATTCAGAGATCTCATACCTCCATGAAATATGTAGAGTTTATGTAAAATTGTTATTTGGGGGATTTGTCTCATTGTATATTGGAGTAAGGTTTTACATTTTAACAGTTCAATCATGTCCTCATTGATTATGCAAATGTCCTCTACATTAATATAATACATGAGAATATAATACATGTACATGTATATGCATAGTGATGTTTACCTTTAAGTAACTTACACATGTCACGAAGTATAAAATTCCCATCATTCACCAATAATAATTCGCAAAATTTTCACATTAATTATGCAAATTAGGTCATTATTTGCATAATTGGTATCTGTTGATGTTTCACCTGCCATGATTACATACATCACATGTATGAAAGTACTATCATGTAAAACACTGTAATTACAGAATTTCCTACTTAATTATGCAAATTTAGCCTTCATCTGCGAAATTTGCATCTAATTATGCACATCTCTCTATAAAGCTACCTGTTGAAACTACGTGATGAAACTACGTTGTTTCTTTCTGGGCTTATCCGCTTTAAAAGATTTCGCCAGAAACTCCTGCAGTTTTAGAAGAAGCTGCTAGGGAGACAAAATCACACAATTTATTCCTGACAGGAAAAGCTATCTGTCACCAATAATCCAAGACCATAGCATGTTCAGGACAAAAGATACAAAAACCGGAAATTCTGCTGCAGTACCAAGGTCAGCCACCAGGAGGCCAATGTTTGACCTTGACCTTTGTCTTCCTAAGACCTACCAACGTACCAAATATCATCACAATACTAGTCAACAGCATGCAAGAGTCCATCCAGTTTTTCATAAGCATGCAATGCATGTCACCGACAAAACAGAATACAGAACAGCGTGTAACAAAAAATAATAATGTACAAGGACATTATACAGGGAAGCATTTATAGCACAATTGATGAAACACTTGAGTTTCGCATACACGAAGTCAGAAATTGAGAAAATGAACTTACTCGTCACTCCACTGAACTTTCCTCCACTCTTTCCCTTCCTGTAGCATCTTTTTTTCGATGGGGACTTCTTTTTCCTCTCTCTCTGTAAACAAGATATCGAAGAATTTGACCCACTCTCTCTTCCGTAAACTACTTCTTAATCAAATGCGATGTTTTGACAGTAAACAAGATAAACTGTACCCATAAAACACGACATGTCATGAAAGCACGTTCGTGGCGCTATGGACAGTCGGACATTTAATCGCCAAATCTTTCGTGCGATCGGTGAATCCTTTAGTTTTTTAATATTATGATGATATCATAACCTCGTATTTCACGAGTCAGCTAAGCTCTAAATAATTTCCATCAATTGCAAACTTCTTGTCACAGGAGATGACGTGCTCTACGTTCGCTGTATTAAACTTTTTTAATACTTTCTATTGTTTTATACATAGATTATGGTATAATCGATATGGTAGTTACCTAATATTTCAAACAATTATCCACAGTAAATGTAACCAGATTAAGATGTACTCACTTCCAATTGAGTATACCTCTACGTCGAGATAGCTGAGATTTCCTCCACAAAACGTGTTGACATTGTGCCCCATCCCATTTCCATAAGTGTAGCCAATGTTGGAGCTGCCGTTGGCGTTGATAAAATTGCCATTATTTGCTTGATAAGTGCCAGTGAACACCTGGAAGTCATGGCCACCACCAAACACAGGACCTCTATCTTGAAGATCGTACAGACAGTTCTGCACATATTGGTTTGCTGGAATCTTCAAAGGATCGAATTTGTTGGCGTTAGAGAGTCGGAAGAGGAAAGAATCCGGGGCTTGAACATAGCTGCCCCGGCTGGTCCACGGTTCACTTGCGTACCCCCCGAACACCCAGCCGATCGCGTTGTATGCGACCGTGACCGTAGGGCCCTTGTTGTTACAGAGCTGGTGGAAGGTGGCAGAATTGTAGCCCTGTGTGGAGGCTTTGAACAGGAGCTCAAAACCTGCGTCAGGCTTCCCCAACCACTCCCGCAGCTGATCTTCATCCTCTTCAGTCAGTCGTTTTCGAAGAGCCATTCTGTATCTGCACAAGGAACAAAACTTACCCTGGTTACCAAACCTCTTTTAGTTGCCATGTCTCTTTGTTTCCGTCCTCTATTTGTGAAGAGGACAAAAGAGAGTCGGCAGCTAAAATAAGTTTAGTAACCAGGCTACAAAGCAATGTCAAGTAATATCAATAAGTTACAGGTTTCGTACCGTGACGGCCCACGCAAAAAGCTTGCTCGCCACAGCGTCAAAGCTGTGAACATTTCGACGACCAAACAGCACTAATATGAAGGGCCATGAGCAACATGACTAGCCTCCGCATGCCAAAAACTGGGGGTTTTGGGGGTCTTCATAGTCTTTGGGAGCTTTTGTGAGGGTCTGCATGCTCTTTTCCGTAAGGCGTAGGCGGGCCCTTTTAATTTCCCGTAATTCGTAGGGAAGTTATTTTATTTACCGTAATTCGTAGTTGAGGAGGCGAAAATTTCCCGTAAAGCGTAGCCAGCGCATTTCACGTAAAGCGTAATCGAGCCTAAAAATTCCCCGTAAATCGTAGTCTGGACTCCCATTTTTCGTAAGCCGTAGCGGACGAACCAGTAACCAGCGGATGACCTGTTGGGTCAACGCCGTACCCAGGATTTCTATTGTCTAACCTGGACATGAGAGCACCCATGACATCAGTGGACTTCTGTGCTATTATTGGTCAGTATTGGCCGGGTGGCGGGAGCACATCTGGAGTCAAGTTTAGTCGCATCTTCATCTCTGCTTTATCTTGTCTGTCCCTTTCTTGCCTGTCCCATCTGGGTCCATGTGTGCGGTACAATCCCACCATGGCTCACGCGATGCCCGTGATAGTGCGCATTTTATCGCATATGGTGGTCCGGCGGGTTGTCTATCAAGAGGCGGCATCTCCTTTTTAATCTGTTTTTTTTTTTGTTTCACGAACTAAAATTCTTTGCGAACTTGTTCACCCCGTTTTGAGAAATTTACGAACATACATGTATTTACAATGCATGTATTTTATTTTCTCAGTCGTAAAATGTACCGATGGGCATATGAATGTACCGGAACAAAATCAGTATTAGTTCGTTGGTTAGTTGCTCAGAAATCGGAGTCTAAAATACACCAGAGAGCCTCTCAATTTTAAAAAATTTCCCCCAACGACAGGGGGGAAGCCCCCCTCTCGTGCTCTCCCCCCGCGTGGACGCACCGCGCTTACGTGGCCTTTGGCCACGTCAGGTGGTGCGCCCCCCGCCGTTCATAAATTTCTGGATCCGCCGGTGGTACGAGTTTTAGATGCAGGTTGGTGAAGTGAATGTTCTAAAGTGGGTTCCGTTATGTACCAAATTATGAATGCTGTGTGAAGTACCTTGCATGCGCGCTTCATTGCAAGGTGTACGTCACAGCTATTGTTTGCGACGTTGTCGGTGAATTTGATCAGTCAACGTTCAACACCAACTTGAATTTAGCGTTATTCGTAGCGAAGCGCCAGAATTTAGCGTAAAGCGTTGCCGGCCTCCCGGAATTTAACGTAAAGCGTTGCGAGCCTCCATAAATTTAGCGTAAAGCGTAATGAGGACCCCCCATGCAGACCCTCTTTTGTGTGTGTGCTATTTTCTGATGCATACTTAGCCGTGGCGACTCTTGATTCGGGCTTACATTGCATTACCCTCAGCAAGAGTCGTGGAAAGATCCAATGGCAGAACTGCACATTTCCCGTTGGCTGCTCGATGCTCCGTTTTTGACCCGGTTTTTTGCTGTCCCGAGCTTCCCTACAATATAACTCCACAATTGGCCGGGTTGCCGATGTTTAGATCAGCCTAAATATTCCACAGCGCGACAGAAAAGTAGTAAAATAGCTAGTCGGCACAAGCTGGCGGCCATCTTGGATATAGTCGGGAATGTCCGCTACCGCCGTCGGGAACGCTCGGTAGCCTTTCCGGTTATAATCGGAGAGCTTTCGGTCGGGCTTCGGTAATCGTGACGCTACCGAGCGTTCCCGACGGCGGTAGCGGACATTCCCGACTATATCCAAGATGGCCGCCAGCTTGTGCCGACTAGCTACTTTTACTACTTTTCTGTCGCGCTGTGGAATATTTAGGCTGATCTAAACATCGGCAACCCGGCCAATTGTGGAGTTATATTGTAGGGAAGCTCGGGACAGCAAAAAACCGGGTCAAAAACGGAGCATCGAGCAGCCAACGGGAAATGTGCAGTTCTGCCAATGGATCTTTCCACGACTCTTGCTGAGGGTAATGCAATGTAAGCCCGAATCAAGAGTCGCCACGGCTAATGCATACTATAGTAACATAGCTGGCCTGGTTGAATTACCCCTGTTTTTAGAACCGTGAGCTAATCAGAAAACAGCCGAAGACCACCAAACCTCCAATTCTATAAGCCTGCTACGGAGGCTACAACACGACAGCGTTTGTGAAACTTACGTCTTTTTGAGTCCCAGAGACAAGTGCAATGAATCTCGGTTTCTAGTCGCTACATTACGGCAAAATTAAGTAAGCAAATCCAGCTGTGTCGGCGATTTACAGTATAATGGAGTATACTATCGTTGGGAAATGTAATATAAAGAATTCGCTGTGTATAATAGCTACACTCGGTGGTGTGGTTTCGGTCTAAACTTAGCTCTTTATTTAGTTATGATAGTTGACCCCTTCTGATCTGTAATACAGTACGTTACTGTAACAGTTGAAGTCTACGTGACATACCTGATCTTAGGTGGTCTTAGGACTCCAGTGTTAAGAGCTCATGAACAACAAAGCACGTTTTAGACTTGAAACTTTGCTGAATACTGTACAGACGATATGAAGCCTTTCTGCGACACTTTATACGAAAATGAGGACCTGAAACTACCATTAGTTTCGATGACGTTAAGGAAGTTGTGACCTGCGCCTCGAGCAATGCATCATGGGAACATGAACCCGGAAGTAAGTGTAAAGCTTTGTGAAAGATACCAACTACTTGGTTTCTGTAGGGGTAAAGGTTTTCTAGTCTTTGTAAGCTTATATAAGAATATTAATATAACCATTGCTTTTTTCACTTTTCCTGTATTTGCTTTTCTATTTCGTGCGTAATACGAAATTCTTGTCATCAAACACAACCGGCAAATGAGCGTATTACAACCACCTGTACATTGAGCCTACCCTTCACCTAAATAGAATGGTCGATTTTCAGATTGTGTTTATGGAGGAAGCGCTTACAGCGTTTTGATCCATCGTTAGAAACTTTAGTACTAGTACGTTGCAAGATAAGAGACATAAACGACGGAAGCTACGATCATGAGCTGGACAGGTTTGTTCGGGGGACGGTCCAGCCATCCCAACACGCGCACGGTGACGCCTGAACGTCTGCCGCCGCTAGGGGGAGACGACTTGGACGGGACACTACGGAAACTACAGGTACGGAATGATTAAGTGCGAATACTAGTACCGGTATACCATGTTCGGTGTAGTGCAGGCAAGGAGAGAAAAAAGTCCTTGGTACAGAGGGTATAACTATGAGAAAGTCGGGAACATAACACACACTAGTAATTTGTTTCCAAACAATGAATTGTTGAAAACGATGTGAACAAAATGTGAACAATTTGAAGGAGAGATGGGAATTCTTGCCAAAGACATTGCCATATCATTCTCACATTCATGATTATACTTGATGTCTCAAAAGAAATGCAGGCCTCCCAAGGAACACATCAAAGCCCTTGAAGACACCTTCCAGCTGCAGTCTGATGCCATAGGAAAACTCCGCACAGAAAATGACCGTCTGGAGACGGAGAACCGCGAGCTTCACCGGCTTCTCCACGACATCAGGGACTTTGTAGAGTGGAAATGTCCCTGTCCACACCCACGGTCGTACCATGCAGTACCACGGCTTGCCAACAGGGGGCGTCCGAGGAGAGACTTTCAGGCCATTTTCGGCGGCGAGTCCAACTACCCCGTGGACGGAGGGGAGCCCAGGGTTAGTGTTGAAACTTGGAGGGACTGGTTTGACTCTGTGGCAAGGGAACACGGATCTCCTTGGTATCATCCCTATCCACAGGCAGTGGTACCACAGAAGCCGGAACCACGAAAAAGTAGGTACCTGACTTAAGTAAGCTTTCAGGGTATTATTTACCAATGTGAAGTTTATATGTATAACAAGTTAATACCTCTGTCTACCTTTTAAATTTTAAATTATAATTAGTACTTGTACCCTAAAATGAGTCTGATGATGATTTCATTATTCCCTTCAGTAATCTGCTATGTAAAAGCCGAGGGCCCATTCCACGGATCAGATACGCAGCTCCTGTCAAAACTGAACGAAAGACTAGGGAAACATAATGTTGCCATGGAAACCAGGCCCTGGCAACCGTCGCCACGCCCGGTCTCTGAAGCCACCCTAGTCTTCTGTCTCAACGCGTCACGACTTGGCACAGATGTGGACAAGGCCTTGATGGGCACTGAAGGTAGGGCAAGATTTTCCACAGAATTCGTCTTTCAAATAATACAATCATAATACAATCCAAGATGATGTGACCAAGTGATATCTTGTCTGTAACCTTCAGAATCTTTGATAACCAGATAACCACTACTAGTTTACGTCATCCATAGCACAAATATATAGAAGTTGACAACAAAATCTTTTAAAAAAGTATGTCAGTAAACTATTTTCCATTTTGTACGACTGTCAAGTTTCATCAAGAATCATGATGATACATGTACTTACCATGCTACTGAAGGCTGGATAGCACTGTATGTATTCTGGTATACTGTTCAAAAGAAGAATCTTAACAAACACGTGTAACAGTGGGGGCGCTACCAACTGACCCGGCCGAAGGTCTAGAGCTTTTAGCGGAGCGGTTAGAGCGTCTGGTTATGAAGCTCTGGTGCCCGGGGGCCGTGGGTTCGAACCCCGGCCCGGGACCAGAAGGGTTTTTACTGGCTCCTCCTGTTTCTTACACACGTGCTATGCAAATTGAGAGCATCTGATATGAAAGAAATTATTCTGCAATTATGATTTTGTTTTTTTTCTCCAGGAAACAATGTTATCCTCATCGTGATGCACCACCGCCCTCCCCACGATGCCCGCATCTCTGCCCAATCACGGTCCGTGCTCCGGGAAGGACATACCAAACTTATCGTGGATGCCGTATTCTTCGAGCGGGAGGGACTGTATGATTGTGATGTGAACACTGAGGCAGTGAAGGACCTAGCTTTTCACCTACAAGGCTGCTGAGTATATGAAAAAAACTGTAGTGCTGTTCCAGAATTGTAGTGTTTATAAGGATAAATGTCTCCAGTTTAGCATTAATTATCATTGGATATGCAGCTTATCCTCTGTTTATATATAATGTTACAGCTAAATCTAAATATATAATGTTACAGCTAAATCTACATGTACATGTTCAATCTTAGTTGAAATCCTTACCACAGGGAACGGTTGCTTTGAACATGTGTACCACTGAACCGCTAGTGCTAGCAAATGATGGAAATATTGTCCTTGTAATTCTTATTGTTCTATTTATTAAATGTACCACCATAAAATCACAATAAAATCTGTTAGAGACAAGTAGTAAACATTGAGCACAATTTGCAAATGTTTGATGGAAGAGCCAAAGTGATACATGTATCAACTAGAGGTCGGAGATCTCATGTCTTCGTCAGAGGTACATCGTTCTAGAGAAATTAACATGCGTATTCTTCACTCTTTTTAATAATCAATTTGGTCTAAAGAACAAAAGAATCTCTGTACTATTTTTATGGTACAGAACACACTGAAACGGTTTGCCGCAGATTATACAGATGCGTCGTCACCCGTGTTAGCACACCCCCCCCTACGTTATTTGAGTTTGGACTGTTACTGGAAAAAAAACGTTCAAGAAATTCTTACTGTGTTGAAAGTGTCACGACAGCGCCGCAAAAAATAATAAGAGAGGATGTTATAAAGGAAAGAATCAGAACAGGGTGACTACTGCTGTTTTGTTAATTTGTCTTTATGACGAATAGAAGACTTGTTTCTTGTGTTCTTTGTGTCCTAACATTTGTACTTCTACAGTTAGTATATTCCAAATCTAGGCATCTCATTTTTCGGCCCTTCGTGTTTTTATTGCGCGCTTGCCTTAAATTTAAGGTAATTAGATTTAAGGTCTCCAGTGGACGTCATCCATAGCAATTACTTGGTGTGGCCGTAGAAAATAACCTGACATATGTCCAACCTATCCTCCCCCTGCTGAAGTTATAGTACAATCCCTCAATGTAACGTCATTTGATCCCATCCCATTATGGGGTTCCCCGGCTATATCCAGCTGTCGGCTGTCTCCAAGCAGATGTAGGTGGGGGATTTCTAAACACAAAAGGTCCTATTACGGGGACATAACGACCTCCACGACTCTCATCTTTGAACTCAATCTTGGAGACCACGACAGTAATATGCCTATCAAATTTCATTAACTTCCATCCACACATACAAAAGTTATCCTGCTCACAAGAAAAATTAACAAAATGCCCCCTGTAGTCACAACGAAACCCCCCACGAAGCTCAGTAACGAACTTAACCTTGGTCCCGACAATAGTAAGCACCACACCAAGAATTATAATCAACATTTTACAAATACTTGAGTTATCTTGCTAACAAGCCACAAACACAAAAGGTGCACTAACGTGACGCACGGACCCCCCACGAAGCCGAAACTTGTACTTGACTTCGGCCTCAACAGCGGTAATATGCCTGCCAAAAATCATGGACGTCGAATCATGCCTTCCAGAGTTATATCGCAAAATCCGCAGTTCCCCACACTCCGGCGAGACAATTTCATAGTCCTTCTGACGAAGACAATAAATAGGCAGTTATCTATGTGATATCCGTGTCTGTATGTTACTCTATTGTTAGCCTGTTACATCTGTCAGAAGCCTTCTCTGCAGTGTTCTCCATTTTGGCGATCCTGGAGCCAAACTGAATGGCTCTCTTTGGTAACACAGCTGCAGACCTCAGCCCGAGTTCTCTCGCTGCTACTCGCAGTAACAACTTCTCCCCAACTCCTCGGGGTAAGGTTAGATTTGCCTGGAACAGAAGAAGTGACATAAAATACACTGTAAATTAAAATACCTCAAAATGTTCTGGGGAGCAGTTTTTATAATGTTGCAAACATGTATGCCAAATCTGTATTGGTTGGAACAATATTTAGGAAAAAACCTGCTGCAGCAGTAAATAGTTTTTGCATTTTACCTGTTGCACAGCTTGAAAATCAAGGTTAAAAATTGAGCAACAAATAATTTCTGTCACCAACCTTGCACTCAATAGGAACAGAACTGAGGAAGGAGACCACATCCTCATCAAGAAACGGGAAGTGGGATTCTTTCCCATGGTCTGAGATTATCCTGCATAAAAAACACAGATTTCTAGTGACTCACTGACTGGACTGTTTGATGTGACATCTTTGACATTCATGACTTATACCTAGTGCTGTGTACCGGTTTGCTGGACCGATTCCGGACTTGTAAAAATGTGTAGGTTCAAGTCCAAAAAAACCTAAAAGTCGAGAACCGATTCCAGACTTATTACAAAAAAAAAACATGTCACATAACCCTTTTCTTACCAAACCACCTAAAACCTCCCATAGGTGGCAAAATCTGTGCTGCAAAATGAAGAAAACATTGCCATCGGGCATCGTCAAGTACCGGCCTCCATGTTATGTGGCCAAAGTTTCACCCAGACAACATTGCAAGGTTGCCAACATGCAATTCTGTATATGCCATGGGTTTAGGTCCAGACTTACAAGTCCGGAACTGAACCTAAACCTCTGGAGTTGAATCCGGACCTGAACCTAAATGTGGGTTTAGGTACACAGAACTACTTACACCTGGAGCTTGACTTTGGTATGCTATATTTGCATCAAAAGGCATCAGTTCTACGTTTCTTATTATATGGATAAGAAATACACCATCTAAAGAATGTTTGATACAAGACCATCTGTGCTGCTTGACATTTTGTCCTACATGTACTTAAGGCCACACCAATTTAATTTCTTGGTTAACGGATTCGCCCGCTTCATTTTTTTTCTGATTTGCAAATAAAATAAAAATTCAGAATCAACTGCAAAATGCTCATATTTTGCCCTGAACAGTTGAAAACAGTCCTTTTCTTCCTAGTTGTTACAGTTACTCCATCTTTCAATGCAGTGGTATCATTAAAAGTTCAAAATTCATTATTTAAATTTTCAACCAGCCTGGTGTGTTGACTTCATGGCTCCTATCGTACCATTTTGGGCCATAATAGGATGCCTAGGCCTGTTTTTATTTTTATTTCGCCCGCCCGCTCCATTATTCTTCTTCAAAAATCCGTTAACCAAGAAATCAAATTGATGTGGCCTAAAGGCTTATAAAACCAAGAGAATCCGTGACTATGACAGACCTGTCATCCCTCCCCAGGTTCCTGGAGGAGATCCTGGCCACTTCCATCTCCACTTCCTCCAGCAGACCTTTCCAACCTTCTGAGCTGCAATCATCACAACATAATACATTTCTCTAGGAACTAAAACATCTCTTAAGTTAAGGTCTAAGCAGAGACCTGTCTCATCATGATAAAAATAGTTGCCAGGCTTTACCATTTTATGTACGAAACATGACTAGATTAGATCCGTGAATAGTTTCATCAGCTTGGTAAGACACTGAGTAAAGAGACTCTTTTTAAACAACCAAGTCTTTTATTCAGCCGACGTTTTGGTGACCGTCTGTCACCTTCCTCATAGCAATTCTGACTGGTTCACATTGCATTGCAGCACAGGTCGCTGCTACAGATGCATTCCCAAATGTACAATATTTACATATCTACACATATGTGGGATTGGATTATAGGGAAACGTCAGCTGAATAAAAGTGTGTAAAAAGAGTCTCTTTACTCAATGACTGGTACACAAAATTCACAATGTATCATACAGTCTGCAAATGTCTTCATTTTGGACTAGTCAACCCCCAAATTCTAGGATTTGATTTCACAATGCTGTTGGCAATACCAAGGACTGTTGAGGTTGCAGTTCATACCTGACTGGACAGGTGGCGCTGCAATCTCATACTAACTACTACAAAGTGCCTTCAAGTTTTTCCACACTGTCAGAAGCAGTTGGATAGCCTAGGACACAATGAAGAGGTACAAGGCTGGAGCAGGCTAGCATGTCGGCAGATCTTACTGCACCTGCACAAAATCCCCAGCTTTTTTCATGGTTTTTGTTGGATGTTTGGCCAATGTTGCATCAGAAGATTATAACATCTTTTCTGACACTGTACTTAAAACTATTGAGAAGATATGATCCTTTAATTTGCAAATACGACCTTAAAAAGAGACGTTCTGCCAAAGTGCTATACACATTACAGTCCTAATTTTGCTCAGGCATACATGTTGTAGTATGTTCTGCTGAGGTGACTGAGGTTGAGTTGCTGAGGTCACACACTCACTTGAACTTGCTCCTGTGCCTGGAGTACCCTGCCAGCTGTTCGTCTGCCCCCATGCCCACCAACAGCACCTGGGAACCATGAGAACAAACATTCTCACTCTGTTTTCCAGACATTTTGATTCTAAGTACTAGTTGTGATATGGTAAGACAAGTATATAACCATCTGCGTAACATGTAGGCTGGGATAGAAACCAGCAACAGTTCTATACCCCTGCACTACATGGTCACAAATGACAGGATAGAAGTAACTGAAACTTTGAAACCATAACCATCTCACACTACCAAAATGTTGAACAGAGAGACTGAAACAATATTTCTTCTACTTAAAACTATGTACATGTATATCTTTAACTTGGTTTCTGTACTTTCAAAGTTGTACAATATGTAACTGAATGTTTCCTTTAAAGTCTTAAATCCTCTGAGAAATTTGATATTGCATTGTAAATTAGTGATAATTCAGATTTTTTTTAGTCTGCCAATGCTAATTAAGTTTCTTACATGTAACGTTATATGGTAAAAATGTTGTAAATATTGTAACTGTACAGAAGGGTTTGTAGAAAAGATTGAGTCAAGAAAAATGACAGAACTAAAAGGTACACTCTTCAAGAAGAAAAAAACATTATGTAGCAGTTATAATTATACACTATAGACATTACAAAAGTTTTCATCACCAAACCATTATGCTTTGGATCATGTTTTGGATCATGCTACAACTATTTTGTGGTCATACATGTATATAGGTAATGCCTGGTATAGCTATACCCTTGGACATGCCTAGTATATGTGGAAGGGGTTACTCCAGGGTAACCTGCCATGTTTACACACTTGTGGGGTTACATTCGGGTAACGCATGGTCACTCTGGTCTGTGGTTGTCTTCTGGTAACCCCCGGGTTATCAAGTCCCTACACACTTAGACTTCAATTTCAGGAACTTTGCCAAAAGAAACAATCATTTTTGTCAGTTAATGTGTTCAACGTTAGATGAATCCAAGGCTGAAATTCCCACTATGTTCATTTAACCTTGTAGTTGTAGGTCAAGGTCACGTATAGAACCAGTAATTCAAAGCCAGCTGGAATATGGAGCAAAATCACCAGTTTTTCTCACAATGTTTTTGTCCTTCCTGGTAGAGTCTGGCATCGCACTTTACTCTTGGTTGTGAAATGTGAGAATGTTTCTCCAAAACAGAGTAGGTGTTTTGGACCAGCCAGTGACACAGATATAGCATCAAAGGTAGGGAGTAGTCCAGAAGATGTTATGGTTGGCAGATGGTGTTGACATCCCTCAGGCATTTGCAGATGTCAAATTCTTTAAAACGATTATAAAGTAAAGTTTATTACAAGGCTCATGCCCATGGGATAATTTCAAGTATTATGAGTGATTATGTGAATATGAGTACACTATATTGCTGGTCTGTAGTTAGGTTCTACATCTAACATTACACCACTAATATGAGGTTTGATTTCTTCTTTGGAAGCAGTAGGAAACGAGAAGTCCCAAGTTTTTTGTCTGTATTCTTATAGGCTAGAAATCGTGAATAATCTGTTCCTTTCCGCATCAAATTGGGGATTCGTAGATGAAATGTACAAGACTTTACGAAACAAAGGGGGCAAAGTTACAGGTGGCTAAGGGAGTTACCCAAGGATATGTTCAAGGGAAACATCCTAAATATGTCTAACAAGTGTATCAGACATCACACCTGCGGCGGACTGGGGCCTTGGTGTTTCATGAGCAGAATCATCAGCCCTGACATCAGCTCTTTGAGAATTCAAACATGATTTCAGTGAAAGTGTTTCAGTTGTTATTGTCGAGATAAAACCTTAGGACAACCTTCAACCGTGGCCACACTGGGTCTTTTGTTGTGAAACTGAGAGATATTTGTGTTCAGAACAACCCAACTACAAAGCCGGTGTGAGTGGTTCAAACATAACAGTCTGGTCTCAGGTTTGACATCTTTGAAAAGGTGATAGTCACCTGTTACAATGTATGTCAATCCTTCCACAAATGTGGTATTTTTTTTTTAAATCGTCATAAATAAATAAATAAATAAATAAAAGCCTCCCCTTTCTGTTTCTGCAACTCTTCAACTATCTCTAGTTTACATTAGCTTGGGTGCCATCCTCCACAACTACCCCAAGGGTCTGCCTTTTAGCTTGCTTCTGTGGCAGTGACTGAAATGGCAGAGCCGGCTCTAGAAGTAAATGTGGACGATGGCACCCAGACTGAGGTACCGTTACATAACCATGTGGGCATGTTGAAAAAGTTAAGATGCCCCATTTTAACAAGCAGTGGCCTCTTGCAGAAGGTTTCCTATCTACCTCCTCTAAGGCTCAAGGAGGTGAGAATGCCCCGCACCGAGGGAACCCTCATGTATCAAGGGCAGCTGACTATCTCATCACAAGGACGAAAATAGCTCCGACTGTGCCAGTGGGAACATCGCAAAGTTTCCTCGCGGAAATGTGAGGTCAGGACCTCTGCTTTACTGACTTCTGTAGGGAGGAGTTCACATGTGGTAAAACAAGAGGCTGGGATATGTGTACTGGCAGACCCTGCTTGACCCTCCTACCGTGCTGAACACAAGAGGAAGCTAAAAATACCAAAGTGCCCCTGAAGGACAGAGATGAGAAGATCCTTGACTTGGCTCCAACTCAGGGAGCCAAGTTCTGGGGCCGACTTATCTCCCAGGTAGTAAAGTGCAGGCATGTGTATGCAAAATTTCTTACGTAGGAAATATCTTTTTTAAAAGCTCCCTCAAATAGGATCTTGGTTGATTGTTTGAAACATTACCAGAATGAGAGTTTTCTGACAGTTTCTATGAGGAGATGTAGCAAGCTTTTCTTGTAAGCCAGTGTAGTGATCTGTTAGGGCCTTGACTATGGTTTGGCTGGGGAATGTGCTTGTAGCAGCAAGCAATGTTACCTGCAACAGTGCGGGTATGCAGAAAGAGCATTTCATGCCCTGTAGTAACATACATAAAGGTGAAAATGAAGTTGGAGGATGGACCAAATCAACAGACATAGGATTCAGGAATAAACATACATTTCCCCATCAGGCCACACCAATTTAATTTGTTGGCTCTCGGATTTTTTCAGAAAAAATATGAAGCGACAGGGCGAAAAAAAATAAAAATAAAAACAGGTCTAGGCATCCTATTATAGGCTTAAATGCTACATAAGGAGCCATGAAGTCAACACAAAAGGCTGGGTTAAAATTTAAACATTGAATTTTGAACTTTTAATCAAACCACTGCAATGATAGATGGGAAAACTGTAACAACTAGGAAGAAAAGGACTATCAGTCAACTGTTGGGGGCAAAACATGATTTCAGTTGATTCAGAACCAGAATCATATTTTTTTTTTTTTCTTGCAAATCAGAAAAAAACGAAGAGGCGAATCCGAGAACCAACAAATTAAATTGGTGTGGCCTCAGGATGACAATCATTCAATCAGGTTTAATTTGCATGGACCAGTAGGGCATGAAGACTACCCTTGGACCAGAGCCAGTGTCACAGCCAGAATGTTTATTGATGAAACTTAGTTTCAACAGTTACCATGTCCCCTTAAAGTCAACACAGGATAAAAATAACCCTGTAAATGTGCTGACAGGGCTGAGAAACCCACGCCCTGGAGGAACTGTTGCATCATGCTGGCCCGGTCTTGGGCAGTTGTCATCCTGAAGGGTTCCTACTCTTCATGTCATCAGATGTCCTTTCTCCACAGGGCCATATCCCTATGAACTGTCACATCACTAGTTTTATCTTTCCTAAACCTCATCTATATATAGTTTTTTTTGCTTGGTACAAATTTTTTATGTATTATAGTGTATATGAGGGAGTGTATATATTGTTTGCCTTGCCTATTGTAACTTTTTTTCTGTACGCAAACTCTTTCCATTCAGGGATTCCCATCCCTGCTGCAAGGTTTGCTTTTGGTGTTTGTTTGAAATAAATAAAATAATTCCAAAATGTATGTCTGAGTCAACCCTGTCTCCCATCTTCTCCTAATCTCCAAGCAGATCATAGGGTGTCAAGTCAGTATCCATTGGCCAGAGGAGTGTCCATTATCCTTTGATGGCTAATGGGAGCCTGCTAATGAATTACGCTCCTCTACTGACTTGCCACCGTATGATCTGCTTGGAGATTAGTCTTCTCCAGCCAGTCCTCTGCAGACTTTTCTGCATTTGTATCTATGAGTGCAGTGATTTCTTTTTGAGGACAACATTGGCCAGGTAGCCGTATTGGCCACTTGTTGATGAAGCCCTCCTGTCGAGAAGAAAATGCCAGACTGATAAAACAAATGCAGGCTGCTAGAAAAGTCTGCGCAGGAGGCTAGTCTTCTCAACTTCCACATACATTAAACATTACACTGTATAAACGGCATGCGTTGCTTCCTAAGTTGTTTCGAAGAAGTTCACATACATCTCTGGTGTAAAAGATCTTGTGCAATTGAAAAATGAAGAGTGCAAGCACAAACAAGTTTAAAGTTGAATCTGCATTTCCTAAATTGTCAAAAGCATTGTAAACGTTAGAGTGTGTAGAATAATCCCTCAGCCTAAATAAGTTCAAACTGTTTCCTCATGTTTGAATTTTAAAAGATTACTTTATTTCCTGTTCAGTAGTGCTGTTGCTGACGTTTGGCCTTTATGAATAAACATTATGCTTGAAAGCTTTAAAACAACCTACCAGATAAATTTGCCTCAATTTTGTAGGTAGGAAGCAACTAATTGAAACATACACACAACACCAGACCCCATCCGTCCTTCATCTAGTATACTGGAGAATGGAGAACTTAAATGTCTGATGTATATGGAGAAGACTGCTCCTCAAGCTAACCAATAGCTTTCCCACAGCAGTCATCCCTCAGTATTACAGACAGTTGGAGCTGCATACATGTAGTTGCACTGATATGACTTCTTCCGTGGTTCAGGCTCAAATGAGCACAGTACACGAATTTCAAACTTCAACAGTTAAACCTGTACTAGTAACCACCTTTACATTTGGCTGATATGACTTTCTTTTAAGGTCGCTTAGGCCATGTTGATTTGATTATATGGATGACATCCTCCGGGAACCCCAAAACTGATGCACGCGTGCGAATAAAAAAAAAGTTTTGCAAAAAAAAAAAGTTGTCTTCATTATGAAATCTACGTGATCATGAGGGTTGAACAAATGGGACAGAATATGGTTTGGCGAATTATCTAGTCTTCAAGTTCATTTCTTTACAATTTCGTCTTTTTTCGTTAGATTTTGGCATTCTACAACATTGGTATAGTTTTTATTCTTTTTTTTTTGTAACTTACGGTATATTTTTGCTCATTTTGCAACTGTTTTGTACGATTTACAGTATGGTTGAAAACTTTTTTTTTTGGAAACGGCCGAAAATTCATGCGCGCGCGGATGTCATCCATATAATCAAATCAACATGGCCTTAGACACAAGCATTATCCTGTCAAAAGTAACCACCTGTCCACATAGCCCAGCTTTTATCAGTCCCTTAAGCTTGGTTTGAGTGGTCTTCTCAAGCTGCATGATGCTTGACTCACTGTACACCTTTCCAGTGCAAACTGCCCTCACTGATAGTTCTGATAATGGTTTACAGTGTTCGATAGATTTTCAAGATTGCAGAAGAAAAATTTATACAATCTGCAATTTTGCAGCAGGAAAAATTGGCACTTGGGATTTGGTGCTCTTGGCCCCAAGGACAGACAACACTTAAGCTCCTGTTCTGAAACAACAGGAGCTTCTTCACTAATTTGCATCAACCTTGTCTTGACTTGTCTATCTTTTGTTTCCTTTTGGACTTCCAAAAATTTGTCTTCTCTAGTTTGCATGTCAATCAATAGTCCATGCTTATAAACTTGCAAGATTGTAGTATAGAGGCTTGTGTATTTGCAGAAAGTATTTCCAAATTGCAGAACAAAATTTTGACTCTTCTGCAATATTGCAGAACACTGATAAAAAGTATTTCGACCACTGGTTTAGAAAATGTTTTTTCAATGGAAGGAAATAATGGATCAGTGCCAGAACTGCAAGTAATCTGTGAGGATGGAGCTCTTTCCAGTTGCTCCATGTCAGCCAACGTGACTCCACTGAACTGGGTCTCTGGCACCGCTATTGAGGTGTCACCCCTGCGCCACAACGTTTGTTTAGAAGAAAGGTCACTGTCAGTCACGCACTGACTATCAATGTCTGAATCTACACACGAGGGGCAGGCTTGGGACCAGAAATGCTGACTCATCGAGTGCCTATCAGCAAAGCGAATCTTGCCAAGTGGTTTCACAAGCTGGTCTTCATATTGTTTAAACACAGAAGTGACACCAATATTCAGAGACCAACAAGTTTGGGGTAGGATTTAATGAAGACATCCACATGTTTTAATTTGAAATAAAGAAAACAAAAGAGGGTTTGACCAAACTTTGTATGGATATACATGCATATGAAGCCAGTTCTCAGGTATATTATGATTGTCATACGTAGTTCATTCATATGTGTAGAAGCCATGCATGTTTCTCTATTTTTGGTCCCCTTTCTTGGAAAACTTAGGGACTCCTTCAACCAAGAACACAGACTCTTTAAGGGTTTTCCTGTCTCTCTTCTCACCTCTTAAAGATAAAGCCATGTCTCGAGGAGACAGGGAGTGCTAATCAAGGGTGCTTGTACCTAAGAATACAGCTGTACATGTACCTTGAACCAAGAGACTTTTTTCTTCCACACTGGTCATTTGCACTGTTGCTATATTTGTAGGCAAAGTATTGCATTCTGCACCAAATTTATAAATCATGTTTATTTACTTCATTTACTACAATGTATTTCGCTCAATTGACCACTGAAATCTTAATCTGTCCTTATGGTTTTATGTCAGAATTCTTCCTAGATTTTGTCTGTAAAAATTACCAGTTCTACAGTATGTAGGGCAAAGGCCACCAAATGGCGCATGCCCAGAGGGCCCAGTCTGAGACCCCTTTGAGTGAGTGCAGCCAAACCAACTGAAAAAGCCTTTTTCTTGGTATATGTGGATAAATGCTGGCATTTTCCAGCTGGAGAGTTATTTCTATTTCTATTAACTTGAAAAAACTGGCTGTTAGGGTAGTTTTGGCTGCTTGGTAGGTTCTAAAACTAATCCCATCTTCTTGTCTTTTGGTGGTCTTCAAGGGGGTCAGAGGTCATGCTGCCAGTGTTTGCATTTGCCGTGCCAGGTATCGCTGGTCAAAAAGTGAAATTTTTGGACTAAATGGACAATTTGGAAGTTGGACTACCCTGTCAATATGTGTTTGCAATAGTTGAACACTCAAGTAGGTGATTGTTGACAGCTCAGTTCTTAGATGTTTTCTATATATTCCAATAGGGGCTGGAATTAGTGGGCTGTGCCCTGTAGAACTATCTTGGTAAGCTATAGGGTCTACCACTCAGACACCTTCAACTATTTCTAGGGACACCATTTAGTGGACGGACCACTGAATTGTGTCAGAGGAGGTGAGAAAAGCCAGGTTTACAATGTGGGAGCTGATGAAATAGCACAGGTTGGCTTCTCGGGCCAAGGATATCTGAGGACTACCGGTAGAATGTTGGCTGTTGTAAGTGCCTTGTTACTGACACAGTCTGTGAGTTGTCCATCTCAACACTCAGTCAGAAAAGAAGAAATAGTCAAGCCTTCAAGAGTTAGAAGCTATGATTAAGGTGTTCGAATTTTTTTTAATTGTAGCTAGAGTGGAACTTGTTGCCACAAAGTACAGTAAGGATATCATCACTAGAAAGCTTTAAACATGGTAGACTGTGCAAAGGTAACAAGGTGTGACAGGTCATTCAGTGTAATACAACCATCTGCTGCTGCACCATAATCTTATGCCTGCATATACTGTAATAGCTGGTATTCAACAGATATTAATATGTCAAGAAACTAAAGACATAAAATGATAATCTCCAAGCAGATCCTATTTTGGCAAGACAGTATCCATTGGCCAAAGGAGTGTCCATTAGCCACAGACACTCCTCTGCTTGGAAAGTACAAATTAACCTTGTCAGTCTGTGGTTACAGAATTTCCCTCTTCACTTCCTGTCACCCTACTGTATTCAAATAACCAACAACGTAACCTTTATTACACACAGGTGATGACATCAAGGAAAAGGCAACTTTGTTGGGGGTATATATTGCATTTCTGAAACACTCCCCAAGGGAACAAAGTCCACAGCGAGAGCTTTTGACACCCATGTGAAATAAGACTAGGCTGGGCTATCTCATCATTGAGTTAGTACATCCCCAGACTGTCTCTTTATCACAGTTTATGGTACACACACCATCACTCTCTATTTGGACAGGGCTGGGTACAAAGTCTCCTCAGTGCAAAGTCCACTACTCAAGTTAGGTCATTTAAGGGAAATGTACATGTAGGAATGTACAAAGTACATAGAAAAAATGTGATTCCGATTTCAGTCTTGAAAGAAAGGGCTGGTAGATAGGAATTCTCTTTTGGTTTTTATCTTCTTTTTTCTATTTCATATTTTAGCTGAAGTGATCCAACAAATACAGTCACCCGGTACTTATAATTTCTTTTGAGAAGATGGGAAAACAGCACCTGTGACAATTTATTTGGTAATAATAGTTTGCATAAGAAATATAACAGAATAAAGCAATATTAATACAACAAAAACTCCACACACTTGAAACATGAAGAAGGCATCCATTGACCAACTTCATCCAGAGATTACCAACTAAAGTCTCCTACAGGTGTCAATACTAACCTGTATATGGCATGGTTAATGACACTGAGTGTCAGCCTTTTTAGCTTTTGTCCACTCCCCACGATTCGCTACCAACAGCAGATTGTGGGAAGCAGACAAAAGCTAAAAAAGCTGACACTCAGGCTACTTTATACAAGCAATAAATGTGACTTTTTGTGACAAGCCTATGACTGCACTTGAAGTTGAAGGACAACCACCCCTCCACTTAATGTAATTTGTTGTACCAGTACTTCAAAACACTTTCAAGGAGAAGTGCTACAAGTGGCCATTTGGCCATGGTGCTACCTTGATCATAATTTATTACACTTATTTATACAAAATAATGATGTACCTGACTTTCCTAATGGGAACATTTAGAGACTACACTAAGGACAATGTCATGTTTCAACACCCTTTCTGTGGCCATTTGACATTATCTTGATCAGGTTCCAGATTTATTACAAACTGTTTGTAAAATCAAAGGATTTCCTCCACCATTATCACCACCCTGTTTGTTCTGTTGAGAGGAGGCAGCGGTTTGGGGACAAACAGAATGTGAGACGGTCAATGTCACGAAATCAATCACAGCACTTAGTCAGTGCACATCCAACGCTGTGTTTCACTGTGTTTATTTTATCACTCACTACGCTCAGTGCGCATTGAACGCTATGACATTAATCAGTGACTAGTGCTGTGTACCGGTTCACTGGACTTAAATCCGGACTTGTAAGAATGTTTAGGTTCAAGTCCAAAAAAGTCAAGAACCGAGTCCGGACTTTACCATAAAAGACCATTTTACATACCCCTTTTCTTTCCAAACCACCTAAAACCTTCCGTAGATTGCAAAAACTTTGCCGCAAAATGAAGAAAACATAGCCATCGGGCATCGTCAATTGTCGGCCTCCATGTTATGTGGCCAAAGTTTCACCCTGACAGCATTGCAAGGTTGTCAACATGCAATTTTGTATATGCCATGGGTTTAAGTCCGGAACTGAACCTAAACCTCTGGACTTGAATCCGGACCTGAACCTAAATGTGGGTTTAGGTATGCAGCACTATCAGTGACCAGAGCACATTGAACGTGTACATGTAGATGGTATGGCCAAGTGTCACGGTCATCAGGACTAGCCAAAACTGCAAGGAACAGTCCAGGCAGGAAGAAAGAGGGGGAGGCAATGAAAAAGATGGGAGGATAGTATAAGAGAATGGACCAATAGGACAATAAGTTAAACATTACGAAGAACAGAAAAACCGAGAAGGGTGGAGAAACTGGTTGTCAGATCATCTGAGGTAGCTCAACAGTCAGACTAATTATAGTTGAGATGAGAGCACACTGAACTAACCTTGGCAGGGGAGGAGTACAAGTTATTGGCCTGGTTCTTGTCAGGACAGTTTGCCAACCTGCCCCTCCCCCTGGCAGCGAACCAGATGGCACAGCCTATGCTGTCATCCAGCACAGTCTGGAGGGGATACAGCAGGTGGCTCACATGGTGGGACCTACCATTTTGAAAAGGAGGGAAGGAAGAGAAATTTAACTTGAAGTTTGTAAAAGAACTTGATTGTGTGCAAGAATGATCTAATATATTTTATGATCTATAAATAAAACTGTTAACTTCTTAACTTGGAACACACAGTTGAAGACAATGTACAAAAGAAGAGATGAATAAAGAGTAATCTGTATACATGTACCTCCTCTCCCTCAGTTCATCCAAGGTCACATTCACCTGTACATGTGGAGAGGAAAACAATACTTTGTATGAGAATGTTATGTTGTTATACTGGACGATCACAGTTTCACTGTACCATTGATTTTGTAATTTGTATATTTTATTGTATTGTAAGATTAATAGTCTGAACTTATAACATTCTTAATGCTTTTAAGTTGTACAGTCTACAATTCAGCCAAGACATTTAACCTGTATATGTTTCTGTGAGTGATGTATGTGTATGATAAATCAGTCATCACCATCATCATCATCATGCATTGTGACAAGCCCAGCACATCGGCAGAACATACTGCACCTGCGCAGTACGTACTGCCGCCGTGCTGACAAGCCCAGCTCAGTAACATGAAAGATTCAAGATATCTTTATTGAGCTATCGCAGTGAGAATATCACTGAATTGCAGTCAATTTACAGACAATTTGTTTTAAAAACGCTCACAAAGACATATAATATTGCACATAATTCTGAATCCTCTGGTTAAGAATACTTGTTTGCAGGGAACTATATTACTGCTCATAAGACTATGATCTTTTAGTTACAGCATAAAAACATATAAAAAATGTACACGCAATATTTGGAGTTATTCAGTTTCACATGTTTAAAAGTAGTAACTAAATTCAATATATACAAGTTAAGAGTTGTTTGATATCACGATAAACGAAATTTACAAATGCCATTAGGGATGATTATTATCCGTATTTGTTCAGTAATGAACACATGTATGGGATAGGGGAATAATGGCTTTCAACTTACCTCCACAAAGTTCCAGTGCCTGCTTGGGTTGATCCTGACCAGCTCTTCCAGCCCCTGGAGCCCTGTGACTCTGTCAGGCACCTGAAAGGAATGATTGTGGACAACCTCTTCCTGATTTTTGTTCCCTTTCTTCTTCCCAGGCTGGTGTTGTTTCTCTTTCTGTTGGAAGGCAACATTCAGGAGGTCGATGGGCTCTTCTGGTGGGACAAATCTGGAGGGAACCGATCATAATCATTATAATACTATATGTACTTCATTAGTATGTATAGATTTGACCTCTTCTTGTTTCTAAAACAGGTATGATTAGTAAGTGTAAGAACAGATGGAGCTTATAAAGTTATAATACATGTACATGCCAACAAAAACAGTTACCCGGTATGCAAGCAATTGGACATGACTTTGGAAACGGTCAGATGTTTCAGGTAGCATGCATCCACTACCTTTCATCAGTGACACTGGAGACTTGTCATCAGAAAGGCAGGTTTATAAGCACAAACTATTGATTGATATGCAAATAAGTGAAGTCTAACCTTCACCGACTTATGATACATAGTTTATCCATAAGCAACATTAATTTTTCTTTGCTACTTACATTGTAAAGATCAAAAGCTAACAATATGAAACCTTTATATAGCCTACAAATGTATGTGAGAGAAATCTAGCATGCGATATAATCATAAGGGAAAATTCTTCAACACAGGGAGTTTGAAGGTATATAAAACCAGGAGAAAGAAATGATGTTAACTTCATCACACCCACCTGTCAGCTAAGGCTGCTATAACCATTGAATCCACTCCTCCTGAAAACAAAATGGCCACTCGACACTTTTCAGGACAGTTCTCTTCAGTTGAGTCCTGCACAGCTGCTGTCCTCATTTCCACCTCCGAAGACATTTCAGGACAGCCGGTTTTCACAGCAGGTGCAGCACAAGCCTCTCCACGTGCCTCATCAGAGAGCAGGAGTTGCTCGGCCCTATCCTGGAGCTTTTCCAATGAGTCAAGCTGTTCAACATGTTGTTTTTGAACGGTGGACTTGGCTGTATTAGACCCTCTCTCCCTGGGGACATTGAACACCCTCCGTTTGACGGCCTCCCCGAGCACCGTGATCAACTGAACTGCCAACGTCTTCAGCTTCTCATCAACAATCTGGTCCAAAATGTCCGGCATCGCTGCAAGTTTCTCCGTACCTTTGCGTAGATCGTTGACAACACACCTTGTAATGCTATCAGGGCCGCAACTTGCTTCTGTGGAACTACTTGCTGCCAACTGAAGGCCATTTTCGACACTAGTTCTGTCCATTGGACTCAATAAGTCAACGTTTGACTTTCTATG